AATAGTCGGGCCTTATGGAGGGACTTGAAGTTTGGGTTTCCTATTGAATGTGTGAAATTCTAACATGAGGTAATGTTATTATTCAGTGCGGGTGGTTACAGACTGTCAGGAGAGCAGCTTTCAGATTCGTCAGACAAAAGGTGTGTCTCCTCACCATACCAATGGGTCTAAGGCATCAATGCCGGCCCATTTTATGATAGTTGGTATACTTGTAGTGTAGAGACGTGCAGTATGGTTATGTGATAATATGTGGTAGGGATAGCATTTATGGCTAGCGGTAGAGATAGCCTCTAGGGCTATGGTAGAGATAGCTTTTATAGCTGACGGTAGAGATAGCCTATATGGCTAAGGGTAGAGAAAGCTTTTATAGCTCGAGGTAGAGATAGTCGTATGGCTAATGGTAGAGACAGCTTTATAGCTAAGGTGGTATGTGATATGTGGTAGAGATAGCTTTATAGCTTAAGTGATATGTGATATGCGGTAGAGGTAGCCTTTATGGCTGATATGATATGTGTTATGTGGCTTTGTGTGTGGAGTATGCTCTAGGGAACTCACTAAGCGTTAGCTTACAGTTTATGGATTTGTTTTAGGGACATCGGAGCCCAAGGGCAAGGGAAAAGCTTGATGGCGCGGCGTGCACTCTCTCAGGCGTTTTTACGGGACACTCTGATATTTGGAATAAAAGTTGTAATTGACTTGTGTTTTGAAAACAATTATAATTGGATTTTCTTAATGTATGGAAATGTGTTTGATGATTCAAAAATGGAAATTTTCTTTGAAAAATTTGGTTCGTTACATTTCCAACCCGAAACAAGTATGGGCCTCCGCCCTGGAGTATATTTCAACCCAAACATATCACAGTGGGCCCGCCCTAGGGATATTTATTGGGCCTCGCCTTGAGGTATGTTTCGACCCGATCACAACATGTATTACACAACAACTAGCATACTACATAATTAGATAATGGGTCGGCCTTGGTGCCTTCGACCCGTAATACCGAGAAGAGACTCACCTCGGTTTGCTGATAAGTACTAACTGCTCGGCTACCGATCCAGAAATCTCACGCTATATATATATATATATATATATATATATATATATATATATATATATATATATATATTACTCTAATTAGAATTATGGCACAAACCCAATAACAGGCCTAAATCACTAAGTCTAAACTCTTTAAATAAGGCCCAAAAGCATTTTTCCCTTTGATGGGCCTAACCTAATTCGACCCATTACTATAACGGCCCTAAGGCTCAAAATGACAAACCCATAACACACAAGGTGAGCACTACCGAATACATATCCTGGAAAAATGAAATATCATGACTTCAAAATATAAAGTACTCAAAATCTTATATGAATTATTACTACATGTTTCATTATGTGTGTGTGTGTATATATATATATATATATATATATATAGAGAGAGAGAGAGAGAGAGACTAAATTACTGAAATCGTCCCTATGATTTGATCAAAATTGCACGTTTGGTCCCTAACTTTTTTTTTTGCACTCGGATCGTCCCTATGGTTTGATCTTGTTGTGTTTTCCGTCCCTATGGTTTGGTCAAAATTACACGTTTGATCCTTAACTTTATGTATGTAAGGGACGTAAAACGCAACAAAATCAAACCATAGGGACGATCCGAGTGCAAAAAAAAAACAGTTAGGGACCATACGTGCAATTTTGACCAAACCATAGGGACAATTTCAATAATTTACTCATATATATATATATATATATATATATATATATATATATATATATATGTGTGTGTGTGTGTGTGTGTGTGTATATATATATATATATATATATATATATATATATATATATATTCGTGCATTACATGAAAATGATTTTACAATGAGCTGAATGATTTTAAGGGTTTTATCATGAATTTACATATACATTCATATACGAGCGGGAAAAGACTAATGTGTCCTCTAAATTCCATGAAAATGATACTTATGATAACCAATGTTGTTGTGTTGTATCCTAGACCATGCCCCACTTGTGCGTAAGGATAGCTACCTCATGTACGGGGCCGATGAATGATTGCTCACCCGTACCCTATACGATGACCAATGAAGAAATAAATAATTTCGTGATATAGGGTGCTTAGTACTAATTATATCATGATCTTCATTGCTATCAAACGAGAACACGTTGAGTGGGATAATAAGAGGTCGGGGTTGGGTGTAGTTGCATATTGCATTGCATTCTTACTAATTATGATGTATTTAAATGTTTATATCTCAAATGATTTGAAGAGTTAAGAATAATGAGTTTCACATACTATAAATGTCTTACCAAAAGAGTTTTAAAATGATTTATGAGTTGAAATGATTTTTGGGGAATTCATCACTGGTCAATGATTGCGTTAAACCTTGACTATAAAATGGTGAAGTCTCGATATTACTCACTACACATTCTCAATGTCTAACCTGCTACTTTTGGCATGCATTCAGGTTACAGTAGCGATTGAGGATGAGAGGATCCATGACATTTTGAAGACCATTTTCATGTAATGATAGGTTGCTTACAATGATATTTGCATTGTTGACCCTCTTCTTAAAAAACTATAACTATTTTTGTTAAACTTTAAAGACTTTTGGGACCACTTTCACCAAATGAAGTTTATTTATAATAAAAATGTGATTTAAATGGTTTTTAAATATAAACCAAAAGATGGATGTTTTAATTTGGTATTCGAGCATAAGTTTAAGTGAATTAGGTGTTTAAAATAGTATCTAGACTTAAACCAATTGCTCTTAGTGTTTTTGTAAGAATTGAGGTAGAATTGCCTTGGAGGATAAGTATGAGGGTTTACACGTGTAGTTTCTAACCGTTTAATTATTATATTAGAACGAACATCTAACTTCTCAAAATGGTGAACACAAGAAGTCAAGCTCTAACTGTGGATGAAAATGTGGTTGGACAAGTCGTAGTAACCTTACATTTTCTCTATGAATGACAATGACTAAAGAAACAACAGTGTAGTTCCGACCAGGGAAAAATAAGGTTTGGAAAAATTATACACACTTCATGTTACATTATTTAGCCTTCATATATCATTGTTATGAACTAAAACATGCTATGATCTAAAAGTTGTTTATATTCAAAACTTGTTATGAACCAAAATAATACAATTTAAATCATATAATCATTTGATGTGTAACATATTTAAAAAAAATACAAACAAAAAGTTGTGACACACATGATGTGATTTTAAGTATAAAACTATTTGAATTATAACAAATTAATAAGTGATGATCCGAAATTTGTTATAAAACCAAACTTGTTTATGAACCATAACTTATGTGAAAAGTTTAACTTGATTAAAAATGGTATCATTCAAAAGATATGATCCAAAATCGAATCAAAATTGATATGATTAAAAATGATAGATATGATTAAAAATTATAGATACAATTTAAAATTATATGATTAAAAATGTTATGATCCAAAATGATATGATTTCAATAATACGATTAAAGTTATAAAAAATTGTTTCCAAAAGTCTGAGGATTTAAAATTATATGTTAAAAGTGTTATGATACAAAATGCAATAATTTAAAATGTTATGATCCAAAATGATGTAATTTTAATTATATGATTCAAAGTGTTAGGATTCAAAATAATATGATTTCAATTATATGATTCAAGTTACAAAGAGTTGTTTCCAAAAGTCTATTATATGATTGAAAATGTTATGATTCAAAGTATTATGATTAAAAAAAATTATGACACAAAAACCACTTGTCAACCTAACTCTATACGGAAAAATGGAATCCTTGTGTCCATTAATATTACAACTAGATTTTGTCAATAATATTAAAACATATAACTAGTTGGAGAAGTACCAATATATAAAGAAAATATAAGGAAAAAAAAAAGATAATTATCACAAAACTATCAAAATTACATAATATCACTGACTAGACTTGTAAAGATCAACAATAGCTCAGCCAAGATGAATTATAACTTGAGCATAAGAAACTCATGAAACGCAAACTCAAACACAAATAAAAGCGAAAACTGGAAAATATTTTTGAAATATCACAAAACTATTAAAATTTTGTAATATCACTAACTAAGATCAACAGCTCGGCGCCAAAATGAATCATAACTTGAGCAGGAAGGCCAACTCAAACACCAAAATTAATCATAACAGCTAAAACTGGAAAATACTTTGATTTTATATACCGACTTTTTCTGTTCGGTACAATTTTAGACAAAAATTGAAACCTATTGTGTTCCCTCTTAAAAAATACAACTAGTAACCAATCATTTTGATTTAGACAATAATACATAATCTATTGGATTTGCGACCCTACTATCATTTTAGATTAATTGTCAAAAGTTGCTACATAAGTGCTATAAAGGCTTTACGTGGGCTTGTTAAATAAATGATTGTCATGTCATTTAACTTTTATTTTAAAATTTTAGCCAATCTATTTTTATATTCAGAATGTAGAATTTTATTCATTCATGATTTGAAGGTTTAAAAGACACAAATAAATGAAGCTAAAAAATTTCAATGAAACAATAACGGTATTAAACATAAAGATTGTTGGATAAAAGTATGATTTTTTGGGTCATATTCTCTAAAATTTATTGATAGATATGAGATATAAAAGGTATTTCAAATATAATCAACAAATTATTAATATTATTATTATTTTGTAAATTTATAATTAAATAAAAACCCACGATTCTTTTAACAAACAAAGCATAAAAGGAAACCATAATAATTTTGTATTGTACCTAATTGTAAGTATGCTAATCTATTTCGAAAAAAATTGTAAGTACGTTAATATATAAGGGGGTAAACCTGAAAAACTCCCAGATTTGAAATTTCGGACCGTTCACATCCACCAACGGTTACTCACACTTCTTACCCTGCAACAAACATCGAGACATCCCAAATCCATCCAACAAATCCCTTTCACAAATCACACACACCACATCACACACAAACACTTAGTCGAATGGGTTGCGTATCTTCCAAACACATCAAGAAGGATCTCAAAAAAGAGATCCACCATGTTGTTTCCCTCACTTCTTCAACCTACGGTGCTCTGAAACTCGACAAAGATCAGCAACCATCACCACCCATCACGCCGTCGCAACAGAAGATAACGCCGCCGAGAAGGTCCCACCAAGGGCCGCCAGAGATCATCAATACTTGGGAGCTGATGAAGGATCTTGAAGACGAACCACAGGTACCCATTCCAGTTTCAGAGAAGAAAAGCCCCAAATTGCGACGTGGGTTCCCGGAAATCGATGTGAAAACTCCGATGAAGTTCTTGAATCAGATAGGTTCTTCTCCGAAGGTGTCAAAGAGGTTTTCAGGCAAAGAAAATAAGAGAGTTGGGTCGCAGAAATCAGAGTTTAGTCCAAAGACGACGATCATAAAGGCGTCAACTTTACCTCCGAATCTGAGGATCTCAAAGAAGACTGGCTTCGAATCGCCGGTGGATTCAAGTTTGAACTCAGCAAGAAGGAGGAATCTCGGGCCATTGTTTGTTGATTCAAATGGGAACAAGAAATTTCAAGAGAAAGAACAGATCAAGAAAATGGTTTCAGGAACACCCAAAAGTCAAAAATCAAGAAACTCCATAGAATCAAACTCGATACTTGAGGCTCTCGAGAAGAAATGCCCTCCCGGCGGTGAAGATGCGGTGGTGATTTACACCACCACATTGAGGGGAATCCGAAAAACATATGAGGACTGTAACACCGTTCGTGGAATCATTGAATCATACCATGTTCGTATGATTGAACGTGATATCTCCATGGATTCAGGGTTTAAGGAAGAACTAAGGCTGCTATTAGGCAAGAAGCAAGTGAAGGTGCCGATCGTACTAGTGAAAGGGAGATTGATCGGTGGATCAGATGAAATAATGAAGTTAGAGGAGGAGGGTAAATTGGGGATTTTACTAGATGGGATTCCAACGGTGGCGGCGGCGGATGCCGGCTGCAAGGGTTGTGGTGGGGTACGGTTTGTGATGTGTACGGTGTGCAATGGGAGTTGTAAGTTGATAGGCGGCGACGGGAGGAGGAGCATCAAGTGTGTAGATTGCAATGAAAATGGGTTGGTTCAATGCCCCATTTGTTGTTAAATTACAAATTTGGACATGATGAATTTGCAGGTTAGTACAGAATCATAATATGTTTTTTATCCTTAAATTTTGACTATTTTTGTCATAAATCAAGGAAATTTTAGGGGATTTGTAGGTCACTTGGTTATATGCCAAAATATTTATTTGTTAAAATTATATGAGTTTTGTTTGACTTTTTAGTCAACGGGACATGTAGTTGACAAGTTTCAACTTTTGATGCTTATTTGTTTGCTTTTTGACTCCAATGTCCGAGGGGCGTGGGTTATTTTTTAACATGTGTTTTACTTTTTCACTTCTTATTGTTCGATAAAGCCAAATGTAAACCGTTGGAAATTTGAAAAATGTTCCTCAAATTATATCGTTGTAACTTGTAATAAAGATCTTATCGAATATTGATTAATGTAGATAATATAATCCTTTTGACGCAATTCATAGATTTGATCAACATTATGCATTTACAACTTAAATATAATAATATAATGTTTAGTTTTTATAATTACAATTGAAAATTTGAAAACTTTGATATGTTATGTAATTGTTCCTTAGAACTAGTTTTTGTAATTACATTTTAAGGTTTAGGTCATTCGAATTTTTGGATGTTTATTTTATTCATTTTATTTAAGCTATTATTATTTATGAACTTGTTTAATTTTTTCATTTTAGTTGCTCTATTTTATTTTTTATAAAAAATAAAAAACTATTTTTTTTTTCTACACAGCTAAACTTGTTACATCGATTGTTTTAGAGTAAGTTACGAATAATTCTTGAGATTTAAGGTAGCTTGCGCATCTAGTCCTTAATTTTTTAACTTAGACGGTCCCAATGGTTTTAAAAAGACTATTTTGCCCTCATCCACCTCATCGTTTTTGTCGCTAGAACAGACGCACCTAATCACCATCGATAAAAATTGGCCTCCTCCACCTTTTGTATTTTGATGTATAGACGGTGATTGGGTGTGTTTATTTCGACGAAAAAGGTAACCGGGTGGATTAGGGAAAATAGGCTTTTTAAAGTCACATGATCGTTCGAGTTAAAAAAAGTTAATGAAAAAATATATAGTTTTTTTTTATTATTTATAAATAATAATACTATTTTGCTCTTAATTTTTTAACTTAGACTGTCTCCATGGTTTTAAAAAGACTATTTTGCCCTCATTCACCTCATTGTTTTTGTTTTGTCGCTAGAACAGACGCACCTAATCACCATCGATAAAAATTGGTCTCCTCCACCCTTTGTATTTTGATGTCTGGACGTTGATTGGGTGTGTTTCTTTCAACGAAAAAAGTAATCGGGTGGATTAGAGTAAAATAGTCTTTTTAAAGTCACATGATCGTTCGAGTTAAAAAAAGTTAATGAAAAAATGTAGTCTTTTTAATTTTTTATAAATAATAATACAAAAGTAAAGTGACTAAAATAAAAATTTTAAACATCGTTCTATAAAATAAAACAAGTTGGGGTGACTAAAATGATAAAAATTAAGAATGCTACTGAAAAAGACACCTTTATTTTTTGAAAGGGAACTTCCTTAACGAGGGTTTTTTTGGTTGGTTTTCGTACACCGACTAATCTCCGCTGCAAATATAAGACTTTGTGCACAAGGGTTGAGTGGTGATAATATTGAAATCTGATCTGTTATTAATTAGTTTAAAAAAATAAAAAATAAAAAATACTTGATGCATTACATTAATGACAAATTTTACTAATTTAGCTAAAAACGATAATGATTTGTAAAAAATAAAACAAAATTGCACAAACTACTCACTCAAATGGAAGATGGCTAGCCCCTATATGTGATTTCCTTATTTATCTGTGAAGTACAGGCATTTATTTAATGCATGTCTTTTGCCATGTGCTATTTCTTTCCTTGCATTATAAAGGTTTTTTTTTTTTTTTTTTTTTTTTTTTTTTTTTCTGAAAATTTTCATCGGCACAGATAGGAACCCCACTTACAAAATGCTCTAGAAGCATCTGAGGTTTGTTTGTTTTTCTTATTATTATTTTTTTAAATAGTTAAGTTTGACTATGAATTTGTGAAGGTTGATATGAATAATGATAGTTATTTTTTTAAAATCTTTAAAACTCTCGCTTAATTTCTATGTGCTAAAATAAGTGAATATTTGGTTTGCGTTGTAACTAACAGAAGGCGAGAGATAGTAGAAAAAAATCTGGAATATGTTTGTCCACATGGAGGAATTTCTAAATTCGTTTAATATTTTCAGGAGAGCACATAGCTTCGTCAATTGTTGGTTATGTTACCTAATTTGTTAATTTTTGGCTAATTTTTCACAAAATAGTTAGTAATTTTGGCTATGTTTGTAAATTTCTCTACATTCATATTGGAAGACACTACCCACCATGAACCACCACAAAATCAAAAGTCAAAACCACCGTGAACCACTGCAACCATCTTTCTACCACCACGACTATATGACAAGTTCTGCTCCTTTAGAGAAACAAAAAGGGAAGGGTACAGTTGGAGGTGGGGAGTGGCGGTCGACGATGTTGTCTGGTGGTTATGATCGGCTTTGACAACGAGATATGAGTGGTGGTGATTTTCTTAGACAGATGGCAGTGTTTGTCCTATGGTCCGACGAGATAAACTGGTGATCAAATAGAAGTGGTAGATAAGATGGAGGCCAAATAAAGGGTAGCTGTAAGGGTTTGAGGTTTTAAGGGGACCCAAATGGGTTTTAAGAGATTAAGTGAAATGTGTAGGGTCGAATATATCGTGATGTATCGAAGTCTAGCTAGTAGTCGAAGTCTTTACTGTTGTCTATATTGAAGGTTTCTTTACTTCGATATTTGTATATATTCTATCAGGTACATTTGTTTTAACTCCTTAAGTGTCGAAGTCCTGATATTTTTTGTATCTGTCGAAGGCATTATATATAGCGTTTTTGTTTAAGTCATTTGTAACATTTGTATTCTCTCACTCTCTCAAATGTACTTTTGTAATCTAGATAACATAAGCTGAAACCAAATCTTATTTACCTCTTTGTGATCATATTAATTTCAGACTACATATTTGATTGATTACTTGACTCTTCAATTGGTATCAAATACCAAAGCAGGAATCATGAAATCGATTGAAGAATTCCTTTCTCGTTTTCATTTGTTATCTCATTCGTTATAATTCAAAATTTTCCACAATGGAAAACGTAATTCTTACTTTAACCTATGCGATCTAACGATTCTGTAATAGTACATCAATCATTTGTATATGATTTCATTTCTATTCAAGCTTTACTTCTTTTCTGATCGAATCGATGGAAAATTTGAGCGTGAATATATTGATGAATTACACTAATCTGCTTGGTTCATCCACGAAAATCCCTATGTTGCGTCCAGAGTACTATGATCAGTGGGTTGATTAAATGGAGGACTATATCAACGGAATCGACAAAGATCTATGACGTTTGATTGATAAAGGTCCATATCGAGTTGATCGTGTTCAAGTAGTGGGAACGGCAACACAAAATGAAGATATGACTGCGATTCGTGTGAAGAAAGAAGCTAACGATAAAAGATATATTCGTGAGCTAATAGGAGCCTTATCGTTGGTTGTTTACAATTAGATCCGTGGATGCAAGACTGCACAGGAGATTTGGAACACTCTCAAGAAGAAATTTCAAGGAAATTAGTGTACAAAGAAGAGTTCGGTGACTCAATGTTTGTCAGAGTTAGCTGATTTCAAGAAGAAGGAAATTGAATCTATCGAAACATATTATGATCGTTTCAATAAGTTGATCTCTAAATGCCCAAGGTATAATGTTGTTCGTACTATTATAGAGTTCAACATTAACTTTTTTCTTGGCTTAAGGAAGGAATGAAAGAATATCTACTTGATGATCAAAACACAAGAGAACTTCAACACTTACTCATTGTATAATCTCTACAACATACTTAAAGTGTTGGGGTGCAAAGTTCTTCATTCATGACTTTGTAAATGTTTGACTTTTGTAAAACCCACTTGCATGTGGTGCTTTAGCCATTAGACCCATTTGTTACTTAGAGTGAGAGAGAGACATGTAAACACCTCTATATAAGGTGGGTTTGTCCACTTGTAGAGGTGTGCTTGAGAGATGTAGTTCATAGTGATTAGTGAGTGAGATATTTATGAAGCTCTAGACTAGATCCCTTTTTGTACTCATTTACTATGATCGAATATATCTTTTAGCACCCAAATCACCATGTTCAATTGTGCAAACTTAAATTCCGCATGCCAAACCATGTTCTTTGTCACTACAACTGGTATCAGAGCGGGTCTTCAAGATCAATATGATATTTGAAGAACGATTCTCGGTTTGGCAATTTTTGTCGCAATTTGATCAATTTTGGTGAGTCTCTCTCTATGATCTCTCTTAATCTCATTGAATTTGTGCGTTGCGTTTATAATTTTTTGATCGTTTTTGTCTCGGATTGGATCGAATTTGTTTCAAGCCCAATTGAAGATCCATTTTTTTTTTTTCATAGATCAAATTCAAATAAATACCAAAATCATATTAGATCCATGTTTGTTTGAAAGCCCAATCAAATAAAATTTGTTTACTGTTCATGCTTTTGTTATCAAGCCGACTTCTCAATCCGATATCTAAAAACAATAAGTCCAAATGCTATTAAATCCGTTTTAAATGATTGAAGCCCATTGATTCATATCATCTAGTCGACGTATGTCGCTGTACGTTATTCAACTTGTACAAATACTTTATTTGTTGTACAATCATGTCCTTACGCTGTTCTGTTCTTAAGCAATTGATCTTGAATTTGCGTTCTCAGTTACTCGTGTCTTTTAAATCGTTTGTAGTTGATTTCGATTTTGGATGATCAGTTGATTGTGTTTGTTTGGAATCAAAATCGAATTCAAATGTTATTCGATTTCTTGATTTTGATTTGGGATAAGAAGGTCCGGTTTGGGATTGATAACTACAATCGAAGGCTTGAGTTGGAATTAAATATTGATTTAGCAATGATCGACGTTGGTTTGATATTGACAAACTAAA